CCTCCTGAGTAGCTGGGATTACAGGCACCCGCCATCATGCCTGTCTAATTTTTGTATTCTTGTTTTCTTGTAGAGATGGGGTTTCACCATGCTGCCTTCTCCTTGAAGGAGGCTAGCCTTGAACTCCTAGTCTCAAGCGATCTGCCCTCCTTGGCTTCCCAAAGTGCTGGGATTACAGGTGTGAGCCACCGTGCCCAGCAGCGTGTTTTTTTTTTTTTTTTTTTAAAATGATTTTTTTTTCCTTTTTTTTGAGGCGGAGTCTTACTTTGTCGCCCAGGCTGGAGTGCAGTGGCACAATCTCGGCTCACTGCAACCTCCACCTCCTGGGTTCAAGCGATTCTCCTGCCTCATCCTCCTGAATAGCTGGGACTACAGGTGCATGCCACCAAACCCGGCTAATTTTTTTTTTGTATTTTTAGTAGAGACAGGGTTTCACTGTGTTAGCCAGGATGGTCTTGATATCCTGACCTTGTGATCTGCCCACCTCAGCCTCCCAAAATGCTGAGATTATAGGCATGAGCCACTGCGTCAGGCCACGGCTGCAGGTTTTTAAGGAAACTTAAAAATTGTTTTATTGTTACTTTCCCTGTAGTTTTGAGGGTAGCATATATGTTCATTGTAGAAAATCTAAAAAAAACAGGGAAGTATGAAGGAAAAAACCACAGCACTTTGTTGGCATCACCCAGCCCTGGGACCACAGTTAACACTGCAGAACACGCTCCTCAGTCTGTTTTCCAGGCGCCCGAACGTTTCCATGGCCTTAGAAGCCGCAGCGAGTGCTGCAGCCTGGTGGTTCCCGCAGCAGCCAACATTTCAGCTCCTCTTTGGGCAACGCTTGGAAGCTTTTCATGATACACCCTGAGCTCTCCTGTCTTGCGTCATCCATTGATTGATTGCCTCGTGCTTTTATCAAGCACCTATTTAAGAAACAATTTAAAGAATATATTTTCTAGTTTTTGATAACGTGTTATAGGCACATGGCACAAAATTGAAGTGATGTATGAGGGGACAGTGAAAAGGAAGTCCCTCTGCCACCCCAGCTGCCCTTGCCCTTGACCGGGGGCCCTGCCATGATGGTTTTCCTGTAGCAGCTTCAGGTTCGCTCCATGTGTACACGGGCACACATGCTTGTCCCGGATGTTGTTCTTAACACATAATTATATACAGCACACAGGATTTGCACCTTAGGTTTTTCACACAGCGATGTCTTGGAGAGAATTCCTCGTGGGTACATGGAGGGCTTCTGGGGTTCTTTTTTTTTTTTTTTTTTTTTTTTTTTTTGAGATGGAGTTTTGCTCTTGTCGCCCAGGCTGGAGTGCAATGGCACGATCTTGGCTCACTGCAACCTCTGCTGCCCAGGTTCAAGCAATTCTCCTGCCTCAGCCTCCCAAGTAGCTGGGATTAAAGGCACCCACCACACCTGGCTAATTTTGTATTTTTAGAAGAGACAGGGTTTCTCCATGTTGATCAGGCTGGCCTCGAACTCCTGACCTCAGGAGTTGTTCGAACTCCTGACCTCTGCCTACCTTGGCCTCAAAGTGCTGGGATTATAGGCATGAGCCAGTGCACCTGGCCTTCTGTGTTCTTCTTATTGCTGTGCGGTTTGTTAATGAACAAACCTTTGACTGTGTGGTTTGTTAATGTCCTCTCTTGGAGTTTAGTTTGCTGCTGTCACATACAGTTTGGTAATTAACAGTGCAGAGCTGGAAGCATATTACACACTTGAGCCTATCTGTGGGGTGATGAGCTGGGATCACGGAGTCAGGGTTTTCAGCAGGAACGGTCAGTCACTTGACAACCAGTGCTCTGGTTCCTCTTCTCTCCCCCTGACCCCATGTCCCTCCCTTCTCCCTCTTCCCCTTTGGTTTCATCAATTTCTGAACTTTCTGGTTATGGCAGTACTTTAGGAACGTGCTTCTTAGGGCATCAAGGTTGTTAGTACCTTTGTTCTCCAGGAATTCCCGATGAGAAATGAGCCCTGACAGGTTGTTTTATTTTCCCGAGAGGCTGTGGTGCTGTGTGTGGGATTCCACCGCCAGAGGGGATGTGGTTTTCTGCCTGCCGCCTGCTCGTCCTTCCATTGCACTGAGGCCCTGGAGGCTGGAGACCAGGCTTACCCTGCTTGCTGCCACCCACGCCCACTGTGGTGCATCTGATGATGAACACCTGGGTGTGGGGAGAGCCCTGCTCCAGGCCAGCTGTCCCAGGCCTCAGCTTGCTCCGTGGGTAATGGGGTAACTACCTGTCCCACCCTCGTAGGCTGCAGAAGCTACTGGTGAGTGGTGAGCTTCAAGGGGTATGTAGTGTCCGTGCGTGGCCCCCTCTTTTCTGCCGGTGTTGCAATTTATCCATTTTTTGGAGGAACTGCAGTGGCTCCCGGGAGCTCAACCCCACTTAAGATCTTTTCTCTAGATTACTTTTTTGTTGCTTTCCTATTTTATGTGTTCCATCTGTTTTCAGAGTGAGAGACTGTTTTTTTAGGACTAAGGGAGAGAGAGCTGCCTGGGATGATGTAAAATGTGGACTGATTGGAATTGACTGCAGCAAAGAGACGAGAGTCACACGCTGGGATAACCTGGATGCCAGCAGGGTTGACTCATAGGGAAACCAAGGCCCTGGCCCAGAGCCCAGTGGAAGTCTGCTCCAACTGGTGTGGGTCACTTACACTCCTCTGTCCCTGGCCTTTCCCATTGTCCGGTTCACATTCTCTGTGATTTGGGGTTTGAGTTTTCCGTCCTGGAGCAGGGTTGCTGGAGTTGGGGCTGGCTCCTCACAGTCCTCTGCTGTGTGTCCTGGGGCAGGTTCCCATCAGTGATGCTTCCTTCAGCTTCCTCAAGCCTCCAGGGAGGCCAGGATGATTGGGAATGAGGCAGGGGCTGAGGTGTCCACAGGTGCTCAGAAATGGTGCAGCTTGTGAGCAGATGGTTGGGTGTAGTACAGGTTCCTCATGATGCTGTCTGTCACGGTGCTGTGGGCTTTGGTGGCCCAGGGCTATGCTGTTGTGTGTCTCTTGAAATCATGGAAGCAGATGGATATTGGCCACCATTCCTACAGTAACTGCAGAGCAGCTAAGAGACACTGAGGGTGCCTGAATGCATCAACTAGGGTGGTTCTCAAACTGGATTTCTTGGGCCCAGGTTTTGGTTGAAGTGTCGGGCGTTTGAGGTAAGGTGGGCTGGGTGCCTCCCACAGTGGGACGTGGTCAGCTCTCCTTGGCCTTTGTCTTCCTGACTCATGGAGTGGCTCCTCTATGAGGTTCTGCTCGGTGCCTTGCTGTCAGAAGCTGCTAAGGAAGCCCTTGCTGAACGAGCTGACAAACAGATGTAGGAATTAGTGGGCACTGCCTCAGCTGTGCCATGATGCAAGGCAGCAGGGGTGCCCAAAGGCTCTTTTGGGGCTTGTGCCCGTCCCCTTCCTAAGACTTTGAGCCTCTCAAGGGCCCAGACTGTGGAGGTTGCATTTGTTGTACCCTCCGAGTGCTGGGCCCAGGAGCTGAGCTAAATTGTTACCATTTACGCCTTCATCTGCCAGCAACCATTAAGGAGCATCTGTGTGTCAGGTGGGCATCGTAGCTGGGCATGGGCACACATAGCTTTAAAGTTTGGCATAGTCCCTGCTCCAGGGAGCTTGGGTGAGTAAACCACAGATTCCTGACCTTTTCTGGCCGCAGCCATCTCTGAACATCTGCTGGAGGTCTTTCTTCCCAGCACAATGCACACGGCATGCCATCTTGGGCGCCTCGGTCCCTGCAGGTCCGGGTGGCCCTACAGCAGCACTCGTCCCTGGCTGATAGCAATCAGTACTCCAGAGCAAAGGGCTGAGACAGTGGTAGGCTTAAGTTCTTCCAGGCGGGGAGGCATCCTGGAGAGGCTGTGCCGAGCCGAATCCTCAAGGCTGGGGTGGGAGGTGGGCACCAGGGCCGGGAGGACGCAGTCCTGTGTGCCGGAGCTGTACCGGTGGGCACTTCCTGGGCTCACAGTAAGAAATGTGGTGTGGGGGAGGCCGGGCATGGTGGCTCACGCCTGTAATCCCAGCACTTTGGGAGGCCGAGGCGGGAAGATCACAAGGTCGGAAGTTTGAGGCCAGCCTGTTCAACATGGTAAAACCCCCATCTCTACTAAAAATACAAAAATTAGCCAGGTGTGGTGGCAGGTGCCTGTAGTCTCAGCTACTTGGGAGGCTGAGGTGGGAGGATTGCTTGAACCCAGGAGGTGGCAGGGGTTGCAGTGAGCCCACTCCAGCTGGACAACAGAGCAAGAATCCCACCTAAAAAAAAAAAAAGAAATAGAAATGCGGGGCGGGGAAAAGGGTGGAAGTCAGCAGAAAACCTTTGTGCATTCTGGGCAGACCCCAATCCAGGCCATAAGGCTCCTAAAATTCAGTGGCGAGAGTCAGGGTAGGTACGTGGATGGCTGGTGAGACTGCGTGTGTGTAGGGAGGTTATGGAGGACATGAGTGCAGCTTGGAGGCCATTGGCGAGGCTGGAGCAGGCATCAGTGGGGCATTGAGAAGGCAGCGGGCAGGACTGCATGGGCCTCCCATGTGAGGCAGTGGATGGGTTGGGGTGTGGGTGGCTGTGGAAGGTCCCAGGGTGAGACCTACTGGGGAAGACATGGGGAGCCGTGGGGGCTGAGCTCAGCAGGGACGGCAAATGTATGGGGACGGTGGTGAATTTGGTGGCAGGAGTCTTGGGATGACCCAGGCTGGAGCTTGGCTGACAGAGGCTGGGCCCAGGAGTGCAGGGAGGCGGCGGGCATGTTACCTCCAGAGGACTCCAGCAAGTCCCTCTGAGGAGCCGGCCCTTTCAGCGGGAAGGTGGTTTGAGGAGTAGCTGGGAGTGGAAGGCATGGCCATTCTGGGACAGTGGCAGGAGAGGTGCAGCTGCTGGCTCCCTCCTGAAACCCCTCACGGTCCTGCTGTCAGCCAGCTGTCAGGAACCTTCGGGAAGGATGTGTCTAGCCTGCTGCAGTAACACTTGTTTTCTTTGTCTTTCTCCACAGGAAGCGAGGGATAGAAGTTGTGCAGGTGAGTACAGTCCGCGTCCTCGTGGTTCTTCGGGTAGTGGGGCCCTTAGCATCCACCTTTCCTCCTCTCCCCATCTCCTCCTCACCCCTCCCCCTCCCCTCCTCCCTCTCCCCTCCTCCTTCCTCCCCTCCCCCTCCCCTCCTCCCACCTGTAGCTGGGTGCCTCCTCCCCCCTCCCCTCCTCCCCTCCTCCTCTCCTCCTCTCCCCTCCTCCCCTCCTCCTCTCCTCTCCTCCTCTCATCCTCTCCCCTCCTCCCCTTCTCCCCTCCTCTTAACATTCCCTTTTCCCCTCCTCCCCTCCTCCCCTCCTCCCCTCTTCCCCTCTTCCCCTCCTCCCCTCCTCTTATCCTCCCCATTTCCTCTCTCTCCTCCCTGCTCTCCTCCTCCCCTTCTCTCCTCTTCTCCTCTTTTCCTTTCCTTCTCTCCTCCAGTGTTGGGTGCGGCTCTCTCTCTTCCTCACATGCAGCTTGTTTTTAGCTCCCATGTGGATTTGATGTGGTTTCTGCCCTGGGCTGGGCAGACTCCAATTGGGGCTTCTTGGGTTTGGAGGGTTGCTGTGGCTTTGTCAGTGGAAGCTCTGGCTGGAGGCAAGGGTTGGTTTGGGAGTCCTGAGGGAGGTGCGCATGGCAGTGGTCACGTTGCGGGGGAAGGGTGAGGGGGCAGGGGGCACCCAGCTACATGTCTAGTTGTTTTGTGCTTTGTGTAGCCTCCCCTGGGTGGACTTGGGCCAGGTGCTCATTAACTAGAAAAAGAAGGATGGGTGGAAAAAGAAGGAAGAATGGATGGAGGGGGAAGGAAAGATCTTGGAGAGAGGGGAAAAGCTGGAAAGATGGACGGAGAAGGAAGGATGGATGGAGGGGGAGGAAGGATGGATGGAGGGAAGAGGGAAGGATGGATGGAGGGGGAGGAAGGATGGATGGAGGGGGAGGAAGGATGGATGGAGGGGGAGGAAGGATGGATGGAGGGAAGAGGGAAGGATGGATGGAGGGGGAGGAAGGATGGATGGAGGGAAGTGGGAAGGATGGATGGAGGGGGAGGAAGGAAACGTCAAAATACTCTATGTGAGGGGCCGGCTGTGTTATTTGCACTAAATGCTGTACCTGGCACCTAATGAGTACTTGGCAAACCTGATGGTGACCTGGCCAAGTTTTCTGATGCCTTTGCTGTCCCCACTGAGGGTGACTCTGTGGTCTGTGCAGCTGGGCTGGCGTCCCATCTTGTCTTACAGACCTCATTTGCCTGTAGCTGCAGAGAGGGGAACTCAAGCTGGGGACTAGATCAGGGCAGAGGAGGTGCTGGCCCCTGGTAGAATATCTAAGGGGCTTCCAAAAAGCCCACTGGGGAGCTCTTCCAGCCCACCCTTGCTGACTTCAGCTCCAGGCCTTCCCTCAGCGGCCATAGGAGAGCGGCATCCCCATTCCTGCAGGTCCAGCATCGCAGGCCCCAGGTTTCCCCTGCTCCTGGGACCAGACTGGGGCTGGCTTATGGGTGGGGCTGGTACAGGGTACTCCTGGCCTCCCTCCTGGTCGTTTGGGGGTTGAACTTGTCATTGGAAGGCTGAGGCTTGTTTTGGGGTAAGGAGGTAGCTTCTGGACGCCTCTCAGCGGCTCTAGATTTTCATACAGGCTCTTCTTGATTCTGCAAAATTGCATGATCTGCATTGGATTTTTCTTTTTCTTTTCTTTTTTTTTTAAGATGGAGTCTTGCTCTGGAGTGGAGGCTGGAAGTTCAGTGGCGCTATCTCAGCTCACTGCAACCTCCACCTCCTGGATTCAAGTGATTCTCGTGCCTCCTGAATAGCTGGGATTATAGGTGTGTGCCACCACACCCAGCTAGTTTTTGCATTTTTTTGTAGTGACGGGTTTTACCATGTTGCTCAGGCTGATCTTGAACTCCTAACCTCAGGTGATCCACCTACCTCAGCCTCCCAAAGTGCTGGGATTACAGGCCTGAGCCACCACGCTCAACCTGCACTGAATTTTTCTGTGGACTTTAATTTCCCCATCATCAAGTGGGGGACATTGGAATTCAGGAACACCTTAGTGGGTGTATGTTCAGGGACCATTTCTGATTGATTGGTTTTGGCCGCCTGGAGGATCCTAAATCTGAATGGGTGGGAACAGGGGTTGATCTGTAGTGCCTGCTGGGGGTGCAGGCGTGGAAAGAGGAGGTGTGGTGTACATTTCATCATGGGGTTAGATAGTCTCTAACCGTTGCTGCTCTAGGGTGCTGTGGCTTCTGTTTTCCCTTAGTCCTCTATGATGGTTCACTTGGAAATCCATAGATCCTTTACAGATGCTGCTTTACCCACAGTAAGCCTGAGACTGACAGCTGTGGCTCATGGTGCTCAGGCAGGCCCCAGGCTGCCCTGTGGTTCCCCAAGCCACTTGGAGGGGCCCATAGGGGAACTGCTGTGGGAGCCATTTTCAGAGGAAGTGAGTTCAGGCGCACCCCAGCAAATAAACTGCCCGAGAGGGCAAGACAGCCTTCCCCCATGCCTGGTCCTGTTCACACGCGACCTCAAACTGTCACACAGTGGGTGTCACCCTCACCGCTTGAGGAGAGGATGAGAGATGGGCAGGGGTCGGCGAGTTCCATTTGTATTGCATTCTGGGAAGATTTAGACTAAAATCTTTAATCCACTCAGTCTGTGGGAGGAACAGGAGACTGGAGCCATTGTGTCAGAACGTCCGGGGCAGAAGCAGCGTTGCGAAATCTTTCTAGACATGTATGCTGTTCATTTCGGTGGCGACTTGGGGGAGGAAGTGGTGGCTGGGGACCAGAGCGAAGCCAAACTGGACACTTTCCACTCCACCATCTAAAAATAAAGCCTACCGTGATACCTCTCTGTTCACCTCCTCCTGACATCCCTGTGTTTGGTGAACTTTTAGATTTTAAGATGTTGAGAAAGACTCTGCAAAAATGGGAAGCCAAGCCACTTGGCCGGCTCTTCAGAATCAACTGGGCTTCTTTCTGTGCACCAGATCTCCAGGCTGCTGGGTCCTAGGAGCTGGGGGTGTTTGGGTTCAGGTGCTGGTGACTGAATAGGACGTGCGTCCCCTTGCTGCCAGCCATCCTCCTGTGTTGCCTATGGCTGGTCCCTGAGGGGCATTTCCTGTTCTGTACAGCCACCCAGGGATGGTAAGGTGTTAAGTACCCCTTAGAGGTGGGGAAACTGAGGCTCAGAAAGCTGTGCCTTCTCTTGGGGATTTCAGCTGGCAGTGGTGGGGTTGGGATTTGAGTGCATACCTGTTTGTCTCAAAAGCCTGTGGCCTGTGGTTTTCTGCCGAATGGTCTCCTTTGCATGTTACTAGGTTCTCCATTAACTAAAAGCTTCCATGCCTGTCAGTGCCTGGACTTCGGCTGCTATCTTAAAAAAAGGATGTTGGGGCCAAGTGTCAGGACTCAAGACTGCTAAACGCTGGTGACTGGAGGTCGGTTGGTCACAGGAGTCGTGTCTCTTCCTGTTATTTAATGGCAATAGGAACAGTGCCAGTGTTTAACTTGTGCTGGGGACTGCAGTGTACCAGGCATTGTGGGTTTATTTTAAGGAAGAATTTGTGTGTCACCTTCCCGAGGTGGGTGCGGGATCATGTTTAGGAAGGTGGATTTTTCAGATCTCAGCATCCTCTTGTGCCTGTGCCTCAGGCTGAGGTGCTTGGGAGTCCTCCTCCCGTCTACCCCTGTGCCTGTTCGCCTTATTCCTCCTTCCACCTTCTGCAGAGGAGTGTGCACGGTGGTGAGGCGCAGGGCCGCTGGGTTCAGGTTCCTGTCTGTGTGACCTTGGGCCAGTTGCCTAATGGCTCTGTGTCTTTCTGCTCATGTGTAAAATGGGGATAATCATGGTGCTGGCCCCCTGGCACCATTGTGACAACTGAGTTAATTTGGGTAAAGTAATTGACACTGTGCCTGGCACACAGGAAACTGGCTGTCTGCAGGAGAACTGCATACTCTATTTACAGGCAGACCTGACCGAGGTGTGAGGCCTCAGGGCATAAAATCCACCCAATGCTCAAGTACAGTGGCCAGTCATTGTCATCCTGGGACTAGGGAGATCCTTCCAGTTCCTTGGTTGCAGCAAAATTCAAAGAGGACCTGATGGTGCTGTCAGCTGATAGCACATTAAGAATGACTTTTGCTTTGTGGGTGGCTGAGGTGGGCGGATTGCTTGAGCTCAGGAGTTTGAGACCCACCTGGGCAACATGGCAAAACCTTGTCTGAGGGTTCCCCCCCAACCACAAATACAAAAAATTAGTCAGGTGTGGTGGTCCCAGCTACTTGGGGGCTGAGGTGGGAGGATCACTTGAGCCCAGGAGGCCGAGGCTGCAGTGAGCTGAGGTTGTGCCACTGTACTTCAGCCTGGGTGACAAAGTGAGACCCTGTCTCAAAAAAAAAAAAAAAAAAAAAAAAAAGATTTTTGATAACAGATTACTAGATTACTGTAATTTTTGGCATATAATTAGAAAGGAATTCAAAGAATTTGCTGTGGTAAATCTCTTTCCATTCCAGTTTTTTAATTTGAATAAGTGGTTTCCGCTCTCATATCTATAAAAATTGAAAAATGGAGCTAGAATTGAAATTGATAAACCCTGTCTTATCCTAGAAATAGGCAATATTCATCTGAGGATACATGAAATAATTTTTCAAAAGAATCTTATTTTATAGATGTATTGTTAATAAGATTCATTTATTTTTAAAATTTTATTTTATTTTTTGAGATGGAGTCTCGCTCTTGTTTACTCCAGTCTCGGACTGGAGTACAGTGGCATAATCTTGGCTCACTGCCACCTCTGCCTCCCAAATTCAAGGGGTTCTTCTGCCTCAGCCTCCTGAGTAGCTGAGATTATAGGCGCCCGCCACCATGCCCACCTAATTTTTGTATTTTTAGTAGAGAAGGGGTTTCACCATGTTGGTCAGGCTGGTCTGTCTCAAACCCCTCACCTCAGGTGATTTATCTGCCTCGGCCTCCCAAAGTGCTGGAATTACAGGCGTGAGCCATCG